GTCAATTCCAACTCATAGTGACCCCCTTTGGGTTTCTAAGGTGGTAAATCTTTATGGAAATAGATTGCTCAGTCTTCCTTCCACAGAGTGGCTGGTGGATTTGAACTGCCAACCTGGTAAACAGTCAAATGCCTTAGGTACTATGTCACCAGAGCTCCTTAGTTTGCAATATAGCCAAGTAATTTTTAAATTTTACATTAAAAAAAAAAAAAGACATGGGGCAAATTGAAAACAAAGGTATTGGGTAGCAAGGAAAGAGAGCATTACAAATTCCATGCTATGATGCCCAATATACTCATTGTACAAAGATCCTAAATCTAGCTCTTATGCTTCCAAGTAGCTAACACAAAGAGGAAAATAAAATCCATTCCAAAATTGCCTGTGTTCATAAATCAAAAACACACCTGACAGTCTAAGGGACTGGGGAAGTAGAGATTAAGACACATCTGTTCCTGATACTGAAGAAACTCTGGTGGCACTGTAGTTAAGGCATTGGCTGCTAACTAAAAGGTTGGCAATACAAGCCCACCAGCTGCTCCATGGGAGAAAGATGAGGCAGCATGCTTCTGTGAATGGATGCATGGGCAGGCTGAATTATTAGGTATGTCTATGCAGCAGGGAGTGTACCCAAGATCATGTGTAGGGTTGGCTGACAATGGTTCTACAAGTGTATTGGTATGTTCTGTAAGAATTCCCAGGGTATAGTAGAGCTGACAAGGGGCAAGGTTGTAGTCACTTCTTGGTCACAGACAGCTACCCAGAGGGACCGAGTAGTTGAACCTGTGGGCTCGGGACCATAGTCACAGGGGGCATCAAGCTCATTTAGCATAATGTACTACACAAAACATTGTTCCACCTCCTACTTTGGCAAATAGCTACTGGGACCTTAAAAGCTTGCAGGCAGCCATCTAGGTGCAACGATGGGTCTCTCCTTGTCCAGAGCAAAGAAGAATGAAGAAAAGCAAAAATTCATGGAAACAATTAGTCCTCGTGACTGGTACACCATGTGATCCTCAGCCTATATGACTATGAGGCCAGAAGAAATAGATGGTGCCTGGATACCACTGTCAATCACTCAGAGGAGGATCTATGTAGGAGATCCTGGATAGAGAGGGAGAACAATGTGGAACAAATTCCATGCTATGATGCCCAATATACTTATTGTACAAAGATCCTAAATCTAGCTCTTATGCTTCCAAGCATAAGAATCAAATCATTTGGGGGGGGGGAAAAAATCATTCTCAAAATCATTTGGCAAAAAAAAAAGGGAGGGGGGGACTAGGTTTGCTGGTCTGATAGAGCCTGGTGGAACCACTGAGACTATGATCCATAGCTGCCCTTCAGGTCTGGAATTGAACCCATACCTGTGGCTTCCAGTCAAACAAAAGATAGGCATATGAGTTGAACATTTACCTGAGGTAGATACACTCCATGAAAAGAACAATCACGGGAGAAAGGTCTGTTTGTGCACAGGGAGACAGTTCAGGGGGCAGGAATACGTGGAGGGATGGACACAAGGAAAAGGTAACTATTGGGAGGAAGTGGGAAGGGAGCTGTTTCATTGGAGTAAATTGTAGCCAATGTCATGAGACAAAGGGTGTGTTAACTGGTGTATGGAAAGTGAATTTTCTCTGTAAACTTTCACCCAAATAACACACACACACACACACACACACACACACACACAAAGATTTACAGCCTTGGAAACCCTATGTGGATTACTGTAAATCAAAGTCAACTCAATGACAGTGTGTTAATCCTGATACTAAGGCTGGGGAGAATTTATTCTTAGAGGTTCTCTTTGAGGGAGGATACTAGATATAAAAAACACCATAATCAACACAGTAAAGTTTCATAATAACAACTGTTCCCATTTATTGAATTCTTATTGTGGTCCAAATACTTAGTATTCTTTTTTAATTATTATTATTTGACTGGCACAGAAATCCAAAGAGTTTGGTAACATACCAATTTTATACTAAGGAAACGAAGATTTGTAAAAGTTAAATAACTTGCTATCTCGATTTCCTAGTTCTACTGCAACAGAAATGCCAAAAGTTGGTGACTTTAGAGAACAGATATGTTGTTTTTTTTTCTCAAAGTTCAGGAATCTAGAAATTTGAATTCAGAGCACTGTCTCCAGGGAAGGAGACTCTGTAGGAGCTGGGAGAAGATCCATGTCTCTCCCAGCATTCCTCTGTTCCCTGGAAATCTTCATGTGGTATCTGTCTTCCATGCTTGTTTCTGTCTAGCTGCTCCTTATAGCTCAGATGTAACTGGGTTTGAACACATCCAACATTGCTAAGGCCTCATTAAAACAGCAAAGAAAAGACTATTCCCAAATGGGATTACATCTACAGGTATGGGGTTAGGATTTCAATACATATTTTAGGGGAACACAATTCAATCCATAGCACTTGCTATGGTCACACAGTTGACTGGTGACAGAGGCTGACTTGAAAACAAAATTGTCTGATTCTAAATTCTATGATGTTAACCAATCAGCTATACCACATCCTTTTCATGGGCTAATTTTTTAAATAATTCAATATTAGCAGATGGTATCACATGAAAGCACAATATAAGGCAGCCAGATTTAACAAATAAAAATACAAGACAAGTTAAATTTGAATTTCAGATTAAATTTTATTATTGATCTGAATTCTATTTTAACTGGCATCCTGTATTTCATCTGGCAACCCTAATCCAGGGGTATAGATTTATGAGTATATGCTACCTAGAGAGATGGGTAAATATAGATACTTTAGGCAAACCAGAAATGTGATTTCTTTCAGTCAAGATTCTAAAAGGTATTAAATGACAAATTAAAGATCACAAGCCCTATCAAGGGTCTAGAGTGCAGTGTTCTTTTGTCAATAAATATGGAATCAGATATATTATTAAGCAGCTAGCTGAGGGTGGGATCTTTATCCACTAGTAAAATGTGAGGAGCCAACAGGCCTCCCCACCTGACAGGATACTCAGTCTTAGCTCTGAGATCCACTGATGGGTGCCTGTGGGCCCAAAACGGCATGTGTTCTCCTTCAGGGAACTGTTATGTGTGTGTGTATGGGGGGGGGGGAGTACATAAAGGGGTGTTGGCTGTGCAACTTAACTTCAGTTTTGTAAAAACAGTTCTACCAAAATGTCCTATTAATTTCATAGAAATGTTACAAGTACATCTTTTGTTTCCTCAACTTAAGGGAAAAAAAAAAAAACCTTACAAATTATAAGATATATGATATACTGATACCAAAACCAAAACCAAATTCACTGCCATGGAGTTGATTACAACTCATAGTGACCCCTGTTGGGTTTCCAAGGAGGTCAGTCTTTACAGAGGTAGATTGCCCCATCTTCCTTCCACAGAGCAGCTGGTGGGTTTGAACTGTCAACCTTCTGGCTAGCAGCCAAACACCTTAGGCACAATGCCACTAGAGTTCCTAGATATTCTGATAGGTCTTTTATAATGATGAATATTTAATAACTTATATATCCAGTAAGAGGGAGCTCTGGTAGCATATGTCTAAGGTATTTGACCTCTAACCAGAAGCCTGGCGGTTCAAACCCACCAGCCACTCCTCAGAAGGAAGATGGGGCAATCTACTTCTGTAGTGATACTGCCTTGGAAACCCAAGGAGGGGTCGCTATGAGTTGGGTCTGACTCGATGGCACATAACAACAACAACAATATCCAATAAGAAGGGAATAGTTGTAACAACTGTGGTACAACCATGAGATGGAAGATTATGAATATTTTAAAGAGTTAAAAATAGTGACAAGCCACATGCTTTATGTACAAAAAAGAAATATATACTATGTTAGTTGTTCATTGCCACCAAGTCCATCCTGACTCATGGTGATGCAATGTGTACAGAGTAGAACTGTGTTCCATAGAGTTTTCAATGTCTGTGATCTTTCACAATCACATTGCCAGGTCTGTCTTCTGCAGTGACTCTTGATAGGTTTGAATCTTCAACCTTTTGGCTAGTAGTTGAGCACTTAACTCCTTGCACCACTCTGGGTACATATTTAAAAACAGTAACAGAAGAAAATTTACCAAAATGTTTAAAAATAGTAATCTTAGGATGGTGAATGAGTCTGTATTAAATTCCTTTTATACTTTCTGTTTTTCTGTAATATGCTTCTATCACTTTCATAAGGAGAAAAATATTTCTAAGGATAATAAAATACACAAAAGAAATCTTAGAACTGAAAATACTTGATTACAATGGCAAATGAGATAAGGTACTTGAACAGAATCGGCAATTGTGAGATCGTAAAACTAAATATCACATCAAATAAAATATACAAAAGAAATTCTGGCATATTGGGAACAAGATTTAATACCAGCATTCTGCTTGAGGGAACCTGGTTCGTCTTCAGATTCACAAGAAAATTTAATTCTAAACCTTTTAGTTTGATGTTTAGGATGTAAGAGTATTGAGGAGTGAGGAGAGAGCAAGAATGAGACAGAGACAGAGAAAGGGGAAGAGGATGTAGTGAATATATCTTCCACCGGAATGGAAAGCAGAAAAATGAAAAAGGGAAGGACATGAGAGGCAAGAAGGGGAAGGATTGCAGATACAATTTTGGGGCTCTGATGGCATAGTGCCTAAGGCATTTGACTGCTAACCAGAAGGCTGGTGGTTCAAACCCACCAGCTACTCCTTGGAAAGAAGGTTGGGCAAATCTACTTCTGTAATGATACTGCCTCAGAAACTCAAGGAAGGGTCATTATGAGTTGGATCCTGCTCAAGGACAGTGAGTATGGTTTTTTTGTTTGGCATCTGCCTAGATTCAGGAATTTGGAAATACAATTACTAAATAAATCCTGAGGCCTGAATACCCTTCACACTCATATGTATTCATACTTCAGCTCCCAGTGTCCAGCGTAGAGACATAAACCAGCTGGGAGAAATTAGGAAATCTCCAAAATTAGACACATTAGCACAGCAAGGCAAGCATTACTGTCCATGGGCACTCAAGGAAAGCAAATTTCAGGTCTTTGTAGAAAGTTTATTTGGCACGGGCATCTGGTACCTCACATGCTTCCAGAATTTGGAATTCAGGGACCATTTGTTGGCAACATTGTCTTCCTTCCATTTGATGGTACCTTGCACCTTCATAAGGTGCTTGAGAGACTCTTGAAACTCCCCATCTTGTTCACTCAGATCCTCCATTTCAATAAGAATCACCTTGGAGTTGTTCTGAATGAGGGCAGTATGCAAGGCAATCTCCTGCTCAAAGGCAAACTCCTGACTGTGCGTTATCTGAGGAGTCAGGATAAAAAGGTGCCGCCTACTCTTTTGTATGTTGGTCTCCACTGCAGTGGCTGCATCTAGTAGTAAAAGAAATGAGTAAGATTTTCTACTGTTTCTTTTTCAAATATAATACTTTGATCATAAATATTCTGAAATTTAAAATATATACATACATTATTCTTATAATCTGATGTGGGAACCTGACAATACTCAATTCGTTTAATCAGAAAAGTGGAAATGGAGACAGAGAACCCGCTTAGTTCTTGAGCCTTTTACAGTAAAACTCTCAGCCCCAACCTCTTCTTTCTTCTATAGATCAGTCCTTACTAAAACAGGGAGTCCTTCAGACTGAAAGGGAGTTTACAGATAATTACTTTATCATTTTATTGGAGACTTAGAATTCAAGTTCAATTGCAACATATGATCTGTTTAGAAGATTAGCTTACATGTTTTAAAGGGGCTAAAAATTTTAACTCTTACATTAAAAAGCACAAACCTAGAAAATCTCTGCACTGACCAAAATCTTAGGGAAGTTCTGGATCTACTTCACCCCATAAACAAACAAACAAACAAACAAACTCACTGCCATTGAGTCAATTCTGACTCATAGTGACCCTCATTAGGTTTCTGAGGAGGTACATCTTTATGGAAGTAGATTGCTTCATCTCCCTTCCACAAAGAGTCTGGTAGGTTTGAACTGCCAGCCTTCTGGTTAGCAGTCAAATGCCTTAGGCACTATGCCAGCAGAGCTCTCTTTACCCCCTAGTGCTTTCTATTTTAGGAGCTGATTTGATCTACACTAGAAAAATCTTAAAAGACTGTACCTATCCCCTTTCTAAGTCATTGTTTATGGAACATCAACACAATGGTCATTCCATATCAGTTTCTAGCTGAAATTATAAAAAGCACATAAAACACCCAGTTCTTACTGCCAAGAGGATAAAGCATGATTAATGGAACACAACCAAAACAAAACAACCCAAGACATTCTTGTACATTGGTGGCTAAAAGACTAGAATATATTTACTCTGAAATAAAGGAATAAATGCTAATTAGTCCCTAATCCTGACCTTGTGTCAGTCAGAATTGCTACAGAAACTGTAAGGAACTGACTAAAGAGAGTTTAATGAAAGGATAATTCATAAAAGATGTGGAATTAGAATTAAAGGACCAACAAGAAATGGATATAGAAATCAACAAGAGATGATGCAGTGGACCATAGATAGCCTGGTGCTATCTTTCTCTGGGCCAGAAAAAGAGGAGGATGTTATGGAATTCCAATTGTGAAGTTGTATGAGGAGGGCCAACTGACAAGAGCTATCCTAGCCATTAGACAGGGAGGAAGCAGGGAACCATACCTCACCCTCTGCTTTCCTGCCAATGCCTCTCATTGGCCAAACCCAGCCTAGAGCAGAGTGCAAGGGGACCTGTGATGGATTCCATAATTATCAGCTATTCAGGAACACTGTTTGGAGTAAAATGCAGATTGGATTCAGAAGGGCAAATGGAAGTTAAATGTTGTTATTGTTATGTACTGTCGAGTCAGACCTGACTCACAGCGACACCTCCTTGGGTTTTTGAGGTGGTATCACTATGGAAGTAGATTGCCCAACCTTCCTTCCGAGGAGTAGCTGGTGGATTTGAATCACCAGCCTTCTGGTTAGCAGTCAAGTGACTTAGGCATTACACTACCAGAGCTCCTTATACTAATAGCATGGGAAAAAATATTGCATTGGTCAACCATGAATTTTTTTCTAAGGGGAGAAGGAAGTTATGTGTTGTGTGTTTTATTTTATTTTATTTTGAGGTAGAGGAAGTGGAAAAAACATTCCAAAATTAAAGCGCTGTAAAGACAGTGTAAGCTTAAGCATCAGAGAGCATCTTCAAGTTTCATTTGGGAGAGATATGACTAGAAATTAGATTGATGGACCTAAGAAAGAATAGGGGAAAAGATTGGAACCAGAAGTTTGATATCACAAGCAACAGTAGTCTTTCCAGATACTAGAGAAGAAATATTCTAGAGTATTCAAAAAAACATTTGAGCACTGTTATTTAATTATTATCCAGCTGTGTATGTAGCCAATGAGATATGGGGATGAAGAGAGTCTCTAGGGAATAACTGGATTACAGTCTCTTGAGTTTTACACTTTACAAATCTCTCAGGCCATTAATGCTGTTGCTGTGTGTCATCAAATCTGACACATAGCGACCCTTATGATAAAGAGGAACTTCCCCATAGGATTTCCTAGGCTATAATCTTTATGGAAGCAGATTATCAGATCTTTCCTCCCATGGAGTGGTGGGTAGGTATGAACCACCAACCTTTCAGTTGGCACTTGAGTGGTTAACCACTGTACTACCAGGGATACCTAAGGCATTACTGTCGTTGTTGTTGTTATTATTATGTGCCATCGAGTCAAACCTGACTCATAGTGATCCTTCCTTGGGTTTCCAAGGTGGTATCACTACAGAAGTAGATTGCCCAACCTTCCTTCCAAGGAGTGGCTGGGGGGTTTGGACCACCAGCCTTCTGGTTAGCAGTCAATTGCCTTAGGTAATAAGCTACCAGAGCTCCCAAGTCATTACTAGGTGACCAAAAAAAAAAAAAAGTTGCCATCAAGTTGATTTCAACTCCTGGTGACCCCATTTGCAGAGCAGAAGTATTCTATAAGATTTTCAAAGTTGTGACCCTTCGAAAGCAGATCACCAGGCCTTTCCTCCTTGGCTCTCTGAGAGAGTTCAAACTGCCATCTTTTGGTTAGAATTTGCATTGCTCCACTAATGGTGTATACTAGGCAACTAATATTACCTAAATACCCCAGGATAAAATAAACTCACTCATTGTGTATAGCTTAAATTTGTATGCATTTGAATCCCTGCTTTTAGTAGGAATGCCATTTTAAAGTCAGTTTTCTACACATTTATTTCATTGGACTCATGCTTATGATGTCCTTACCCCATGTACACTCCAAATCCTTCCCAGTCTCTAAGGAATTAGAGAAGAGCTCCAAAGAAGGTTCAAATGTACCTGACATGAAGGTGAAAAGAGGAGAAACTAGCTACAAAAATGACTGCAATTATGATAAAACTGTGAGAAGTACTTGAAATCTGCTAGAAATATTAAGAAACAGAAGTCACAATTCTACTTGTTCTTGTGAGAGTATAAATTTGCAAACTCTTCACCAATATAAAGAAATCATAAACTCTCAGAATCCTTTAAAATATTTTAGCTAATGCCTATGGATATAAGGAGGAGCTCTGGTAGCATAGTGCCTAAGGCACTTGACTGCTAACCAGAAGTCTGGCAGTTCAAACCCACTAGCCACTCCTCAGAAGGAAAATGGGGCAATCTACTTCTGTAGTGATACTGCTTTGGAAACCCAAAGAGGGGTCGCTATGAGTGGGGTCCAACTCGACAGCACAGAACAACAACAACAACATGGATATAAGGAAGGCACTCTGATGGTACAGTGGTTAAAGCATTCAGCTTCTAAGCAAAAGGTCAGTGGTAGGAACTTACCAGGGACTCCACAGGAGAAATATGAGGCAGTCTGCTTCTGTAAAGATTTACAGCCTCGAAAACCTTATGAGGCAGTTCTGCTCTGTCCTATAGGGTCACTATGAGTCAGAGTTGACTTGATAGCAGTGAGTTTTTGTTTGGTATGGCTATAAGATCAAAATTCTTCAGTTTTCAAGTCCTTCAAACCTTGTAGAGATAATTAAGAAATGTCCGTTATGCTAGTTGAGGACAAGGGTGTAAAGGAGAGGCACTGCCCTGCTAAATTCATGTAGCAAAGGATATTTAACTCTGTCTTTACATCTTCAGCATTGATATGAAGACTGCATGACTAGAGTGGAGATGGGAGGAGGAAGAGAAAAGAATAATTATCTCCATCTTCTGGAGAAATATTTAGGTCTGGAATAGTAAAAGTACAATTCCTTATCCAACGCACAGATAAGGTCACCTATCCTTCTATGTGTCTGACAAACATGAATCTTGTCCTTGATGTATGTTGCTTTACCTTCTCCAGGTAGTAGGTCTCTCCCATAAATGCATAAATTATATCCACATTTATTTTCAAGAACATCAGGAAGAATCTGGTGAACAAAGTGTTCCACAGAACTGGTTCCATCAGAACTGTGTTTGTAGTTCCGTGGATAGATAACATAAGCATCATAGATCTTTCCATCTGAAAATGAAAACAAGTGAAACTTCATTACATGGGCCTAGAAAATACTTCCACTCGTCTGTCAGTTTGTCATAATGTGGTAGATTGCAGGTTGCTGTGATGCTGGAAGCTATGCCACCCTTATTTCAAATACCAGCAGTTTACCCATGGTGGACAGGTTTCAGTGGAGCTTCCAGACTAAGACAGAACAGATTAGGAAGAAGAATGAGATCATCCACTGAAAACCATGTGAAATACCAGTGAAACATTGTCTGACTATACTGCTAGAAGATGACTTCTCAGGTTGGAAGGCACTCAAGATACCACTAGAGAAGAACTGCCTTCTCAAAATAGAATCAATGTTAATGACATGGATGGAGTAAAGCTTTTGAAACCTTCATATGCTGATGTGGCAAGACTAACAATGAAAAGAAACAGCTGTAAACATTCATTAATAATCAGAACATGAAATTATGAAGCATGAATCTAAGGAATGTGGAAGTTGTGAAAAATGAACTGAAACACATAAAGATCAATATCATATACATAGGCAGACAGGTGAGAAGATAGATGTGGACAGGAGAATGGCAATATATCCATAACTATAGATAGATTTAGCTGATGATAATCCTACATGCGTATTTACATGGGCTACATAACGACTACTTCTTGGGTTTCCAAGGTGGTATCTCTATGGAAGTAGATTGTCCAGTCTTGCTTCCAAGGAGTGGCTGGTGGGTTTGAACCACCAGCCTTCTGGTTAGCAGTTAAATGCCTTAGGCACTATGCCACCAGAGCCCTCTATTATGGAACTAGCAGAGGACAAAGTTGGGGTAGCTTTTTAGCCACAATCAAGTACCTTGAGGGAGTGAGTCACCAGGCTTGTGGGCTCAGCTCTATGGTCTTGGCACAACATAGTACACAAAAATATTATTCTACTTCCTACCTTGGTGAGTAGCAACTGGGGTCTTAAAAGTTTATAAGCAGCCACCTAAGATGCAGCTATTGGTCTTTCCCATACAGAGCAAAGAAGAATGAAGAAAATCAAAGACATAAGGAAACAATTAGTCCAAGGGACTAACGGACCACAGGAACCTCAGCTTACATGACCCTGAGACCAGAAGAACTAGATGGTGTCTGGTTACCAATGCCAACCAATTGGAAAGGGATCAAAATTGGAGATCCTGGATAGAGTGAGAGGAACAACGTGGAACAAAGTTCAAAAACCCAAAAATGACTAGAATTACTGGTCAGATAGAGACTGGTGAAATTTCTAAGACTATGCCTCTGGGTTATTTTTCAGGCCTCTAATTGGGCTCACGCCAGCAAGTTAGCTCTCATCCAAATAATAGAAAGAACTACAAACTGAACACCTATCACAAGAAGATGCAACCCTTAGAATAGTCAACCATGAGAGACTGAAAAGGCAGTATTTGCATAGGGGGAAAGTTAGACAGACAGGCATGCATAGGTAAGAAGGACACAGGGAAGGGTTAACCGCAGGGAGGAGGTGAGAAGAGAGCTGTTCCACTGTGCGTATTGTAATAGGTGCTGCGAAACAAAATGTGTAATGTACTGTTGAGTGTAAAACAAATCTGCTTTGTAAATTTGCACCCAAATCACAATAAAAAAATTTTTAATCAATATCTTAGGCATTAGTGAGCTGAAATGGATTGGTATTGGCCATTTTGAATCAGAAAATCATATTTTTTACTATGCCTGGAATGACAAATTGAAGAAGATTGGCATTACATTCATTGTCAAAAGAATATTTCAAGATTTATCCTGAAGTAGAATGCTGTCAATGATGGGATAATATCCATACACCTATAAAGAAGATTAGTTAATACTACTATTATTCAAATTTACCCACCAACCACTAAAGCCAAAGAAGAAGAATTTGAATATTTGTACCAACTTTAGCGGTCTGAATTAGACCAAATATGCAATGAAAAGGTATTGATAATTACTGGTGATTGGAATGTGGAAGTTGGAAAAGAAGATGCTTCGGTAGTTGGAAATTATGGCCTTGATAAAACAAATGCTGCTGGTGATCATATGATAGAATTTTGCAAGATCAAGAAATTATTCATTACAAATACCTTTTTTCAACAACATAAACAGCAACCATACATGTGGCCTTGCCAGGTGGAATACATAGGAATCAAATTGATCACATCTGTGGAAAGAAGTGATGGGAAGCTCAAAATCATCCATCAAAACAAGCCCTGGTGCTGACTGTGGAACAGAACATCCATTGCTCATATGCAAGTTCAAGTTGAAGCTGAAAAATATTAAAGCAAGTCCACAAGAGCCAAAACATGACCTTGATTATATCCTACCTGAATTTAGAGATCATCTGAAGAACAGATTTGACTCATTGAACACCAATGATCAGATGAATTGTGAGATGACAAGGACATTATACATGAAGAAAACAAAATGTCATTAAAAAGACAGAAAAGAAAAGACCAAAATGGATATCCAAAGAGACTCTGAAACTTGCACTTTAACAGAGAATTGGTAAAGTAAATGGAAGAAATAGTCAAATAAAAGAACTGAATAGAAGATTTCAGAGGCATCTCAAGAAGATAAAATAATGTATTTTAATGAAATGTGCAAAGACTGGGAATTAGAAAACCAAAAGGGAAGAACATGCTTGGTGTTTCTCAAGCTGAAAGAAGTGAAGGAAAAATTCAATCCTTGAGTTGCAGTATTGAAGGATTCTATCAATATCAGCAAAATATTGAACAATGAAGGAATCATCAAAGAAGATGGACACACAGTCACGGTACCAAAAAGAATTTGTCAAAGATCAACCATTTCAAGAGGTAGCATATTATCAAGAGCCGATGGTATTGGAGGAAGAAATCCAAGTTGCACTGAAGGAATTGGTGAAAAACAAGGTTCCAGGGATTTACAGAATACCCAGTGAGATGTTTCAACAAAAGGAGGCAGCACTGGAAGTGCTTACTCATTTATGCCAAGAAAAGTGAAAGACAGCTGCCTGGCCAACTGACTGGAAGAGATCCATATTTGTGCCCATTCTAAAGAAAGGTGATCCAACAGAATGTAGAAATTATAGACCAATATCATTAATATCTCATGCAAGTAAAATTTTGCTCCAGATAATCAAAAAATTGTTACAGGGAACTGCCAGTAATTCAAGTAAGATTCAGAAGAGTGCATGGAATGAGAGTATATCATTGTTGACATCAGATGGATCTTAGCTGAAAGCAAGAATACCAGAAATATCTTTACCTGTGTCTTATTGGCTATGCAAAGGCATTCAGCTGTGTGGTTCATAACAGATTATGCATAACATTGTGAAGAATGGGAATTCCAGAACATTCAATTGTGCTCATGAGGAACCTGTATATAGACTAAAATGCAGCCAGCCATTCAAAGAGAAAAAGGGAATATTGACTGGTTTAAAATCAGGAAAGGTATGTATCAGGGTTGTATCCTTTCATTATACTTATTCAATCTGCATGCTGAGCAAATAATTCAAGAAGCTGGACTATATGAAGAAAATGTGGCATTAGAGTTGGAGGAAGACTCATTAACAACCTGCGATATGCAGATGACACCACCTTGCTTGCTGAAAGTGAAGATGACTTGAAGCACTTACTGATGAAGATCAAAGACTACAGCCTTCAGTACAGATTGTACCTCAACATAAAGAAAACAAAAATCCTTATAACTGGACAAGGAAGAAGCAACATCATGATATATGGAGGAAAAAATGAAGTTGTTAGGGATTTCATTTTACTTGGATCCACAATCATGGCCCATAGAAGCAACAACCAAGAACTTAGATGACTCAGATGACATTTGCGTTGGGCAAATCTGCTGCAAAAGACCTCTTTAAAGAGAAGACTAAGGTATGTCTGACCCAAGCCATGGTATTTGCAATAGCCTCATATGCATGTGAAAGCTGGACAATGAATAAAGAAGACTGAAGAAGAGTTGGGAGCTCTGGTGGCGTAGTGCCTAAGGCATTTGAGTGCTAACCAGAAGGCTGGCAGTTCAAACCCACCAGCCACTCCTCAGAAGGAAGACCAGGAAATCTAGTGATACCGCCTTGGAACTATGAGTCAGATCCAACTCCATGCATTTGAGCTGTGGCGTTGGTGAAGAGTATTGAAAATACCATGCACTGGCAGAAGAACAAACCAATCTGTCTTGGAAGTACATCTGAAATGGTCCATAGAAGTGAAAATGGCATGACTTCATCTCTTGTACTTTGGTCATGTTGTCAGAAGTCACCGGTCCTTGGAAAAGGATATCTTGTTTGATAAAGTAGAGGGTCAGCAAGAAAGGGGAAGACCCTCAAGGAGATGGATTGACATTGTGGCTGCAACAATGGGCAGAAGCATAGTAGGCATTGTGAGAATGGAGCAGGACTGGGCAGTGTTTCTGTCATGCATAGGGTTGCTATGAGTCAGCCCCTAACAACAAAAAGTCAAATGACTCTTAATAGATAGTCCTCACTGAGTTATATAGTTGGTGGTGAATACACCTGATTGTCCAGTTTTCTAGAATCAAGATTCTATGACAATCCACTGCTACAATACATGATAAGAAACTCAATCTTCATCCCAAAGTTTTCTTCCTTTTTATTGTCTCAGATTGAATAAAATGGTATGATTGAGAACAAATAAGAGGCTTTATAAGTTAGTAAAAATCATAAGGAAAGGCTTGATTAATGATCAACTGATAAGTATTTATAGTCATGGAGAAGGTGTTTTCTGCTACTGGCTAGATGCCAGTTTCTTCCATTTCTCCAACCTTCCCCTGGGGAAGTAAAAATGCTAAATGCTAATTAATAGTGGCAAAAGAATAGACAGTTTTAAGGGATTTGAAATTTCCACAAGTCAAACAATTAGCTCCTATTTGAGGCAACCATGTGGAAAAATGTAGCACATATCTGCCTCCAAGTGAAAGAACAGTGATCATATTGAGGAAGCAGTATAGTCTTTTTAAATATGTATACTTATGTGCATGGGTAAGACTTTGTATAGAATAGAGTTTCCAGCAAAATACACGTGTATTTTGCTGAACCGATCTAGCCTCCTCACATCTGGAAAGCAGGAATGATTTTGTTCATATTACTTCACCAAAATACATTTTACAACATATTTAAACATCTGAGCTTGGGACAGATTCTGTTATTGGTAATTTATTAGGAACAGTTATTGGGGGTTGTGAGCTGTTGTGATGAATCTCAGGACCAAGGGGAACTATGGGGAAGAATGGAAAAATGGCCTCTGAGAAGGCTCAAGAAAAGATTCATTGATGATGTTAGCAAGCAAAATGAAATATGGGTTCATCACCATAAGCTATTAAGAGATTACTAGAAAAATAGCCAAAAGTCATTATGGGACTTTTTCTTTTGGAGAAAAACTTGAAAATGGTCACTTACCATTTCTAGTTTTGTAAGGTCTAACTATGTCTCTCCACAGCAGAGTAAAGTCAATCCAGAACACTTTGAGCAGTATTGCCAAGATACTGATTAGGGTTAACAATACACTAAATCCTGCAACAGTGTAGTAGGTGTTTTGATGATCAACTATTCAAAAGATAGAAGGAGGAGAAAAATTGTTATTAGTATCATGGAAACAAGGTAAAGGAAATACATACATGTCGGCTTCCATTGGGAGAACAAGAAATTCATGCCCACTTGGAATTTTCATGGCTGCTTTTGGAATCAGTAAATTAACATTCATTGAGCCCCTACCTTGTATAAAAGGAGCCCTGGTGGTGCAATGATTAAGTGCTCAGCAGAAAACCAAAAAGGTGGTGGTTTGAACCTCTACAGCTGTTCCGCAGGTGATCACCTCCCATGAAGAATACAGCCTAGAAAACCCTAAAACCAAAAACCAAACTGACTGCCATCAAGTCGATTCCTACTCATAGTGACCCCTGTTGGGCTTCCAATGCAGTAATTAGATTGCCTCATCTTCCTTCCACAGAGATGCTGGTAAGTGTGAATGGCCAACCTTCTGCTTAGCAGTCAAATGCCTTAGGCAGTACGCCACCAGAACTCCTTAAGGGACAGTAAAAAATCAACTCAACAACACCAGTTCAAATCAACAGAACAAAACCAGTTCTATACCTGCACCAGGCTAAGCATTGGAGGGAATCCTAAAGGATATCAGAGATAGTTCTCACTCAACTGAGACATAGATACTCATGACAACTTAACTAAAATAGGAAGTCTTAGAGGTAAAAGCTGGCACAGGCTTTTAGAAGACAACTTCACTCCATGCTTGGCTGAGCAAGGAAGACTTCCTGCAGGAGGAGGTCCCAGGAGGATGGGTAGGACTCAGATAACTGGTAAGACATAAGGAAATGTATTCTTTACAAGAGGGATTATTGAGAGCCAACATGAAGAAATGTGTTTTCTGAAGTAATCTAGTTTTGGAAATAGTGGAATATAAGATTAGAAAGATGAGTTAGAGCTAAATTCTAACAAGACTTGAGGACCTACATAAAGCATTTTGTGGGAGCCATTGAAACATTTTGAGCAGGGTATAAACAATGAATGTACTTCTCAAACAAGATTAATCTAATGGTAGTAGAAGGTAAGTTTCTGTGGAAAGAGACTAGAAGCAGATGAAACAGAATTGAGCACAAATTTCTTACTACTTCCAGTGCAAGAGGGTTGAAACATGTGTGATAATGGGAAAGGAATGGACAGGTCTTAAATGGGGGAAACTAAGGAGAAAGAATCAATAGTTCTTGGGGACTTACTGTGTCTAAGTGGTTGGTGGCATAGGAAAGCAGGGAATAAGAAGATCCATGTAAGTCTTTAAAGCATTTTTTATGGAAAAAAATTACCTAGACACACCTCTTCTCTTATGCTGAACATTGTTTAGCCACCAAAAAACTTTATCCTGTACTCATTGTTTCACAAAATATACATACAACATGGTCCCCATCTTTAAGGGCTTGTAGCAGATACATACATGTTGAATATAAGTACTGCAATCATTAATGATATTTTTGCTTATTTAAATTTACTTTCCCTTTTATAATTATCTTAGGAGTCCCTCTTAAAGATGAAAATGAAAAAAAATCTCAAATAGGATTTGATTATATGGTTCCTTTGTTATATTCATCTTAAGTCTTGCAACATTGGTTTCCAGTCTTGATACAGGAAATCACTGGTCCTTATTCACAAATTCATCCACCACCCCTAAAAGCTCATCAGTTACCTGAGCATCCAGCACTATGAAATCAAGAGTTATCAGGGTGAGGTACTCAAAGCTGGGGAAAAAACTGAAAATTTGCAGAGAGCTTACTGTCTGCCCTGCCTTCAATTTAAATGATAAATATTCCTCAGGCAAATCATTTCAAAAGAATTCTTCTCCAGTTCACTCTTTCTAAATATATTCTCTGAATGCATGCTGGAAGTCTATGCTTCTTGTGGGGATTGTTGCAAAGTAACTATGTCTCTGCTGGCTGCTTTCAAATGTAGAAAAGAAGTTAATCCAAGACCTTAAAGTAAGTTGAAGTTCAATATCTTCCTAATGCATAGTGATTTTAGAAATATATAGGTAGTTCTTGTATGTGATGACTAAATAGTAAATATTTTCTCTCAGTGTCTATTAACATGAAGACACTGACTTTTTGAATCGTGATTCTGCTCCTCTACGTCTATGGCACTTGGTAAGCTATCCAACTTTTCCTTGCCTCAAGTTTTCGTCTATAAAATAAGGATGATAATAATAGTCCCTCCTCCATTGGGTTGGGAGTAAGTAAATGAGAAACTAAATGTAAAGTAGCTAAAAATGTCTGGTAGATCATTTATAATGAATCAATGTATACTATGATTATTATTATAATGGTCAGATATTCATTTAATCAAATATGGGGACATAAGCTTTTCAGTTATTTCTTAAACTCAAGATAATGCTGGAATTTGTTTAATTCTATGATTAGAGAGAAAGATTTCATCATGATGATTCAATAACAGTCACAGTTTTTGTTTAAGATATGTAGTTGTTGAAACAAAAACAGATTGAAGATTAACAGGTGAAAGACATCAAATACAAATAAAGTAAAAATAACAAAATCAACAAGTGCATGTAACATTAATACAAGTCCAATACACAGGTATACTAGAGAGCATTCAGAAAATGAGAACATAAGCAAAACACGGAGATAAGGACGACAAAGGCAGTGCTAGGTAGGAAGTGTGGGTTCCTTCTTTCCTCCAGGATCCAATGTGCCTACCACCACCACAGATACTGGCCTAATGTAACATTGTGACATGCCCCATACATCTCAAGGTAACAGAATTATAACTGACCGAATCATGGCGGCACACAAAACACAATAATACCATGTTTTTAAACAAATATTGTGAACATTATCTTTTTTTTTTCCAAACCACACAACCCCTTTGTGCATTAGTTTCCTGTGTGTGCTATGTGTGTTATGTGTGTGTGTGTTTCTTATATGTTGTTGTTGTTCTTATGTGCCATCGACTCAGACCCAACTCATAGCAATCCCTCCTTGGGTTTCCGAGGCAGTATCACTATGGAAGTAGATTGCCCCATCTTCCTTCCGAGGAGTGGCTAGACATGTTATATCCTAAAAATACAGCACTTAAAATCATCTACATGAGTCGTGATTCTTTTTAGCCACTCTTATTTAGTCATATTCTATTTTATAAAAGCTTACAAATGAGGAGTTAAAGTAGAAATCAAACAAGAAAAGTCCCAAGCATTCCCCTAAGATAGAGATGTACAATGACTAGATCAAATTGGTGGTTTATTTACTCCTCAACCCTAATTTGTTTTTGTCATGTTGCGCTTCTGTGTTGTTGTTGTTATTTGCCACTGAGTCAGCCCCAACTCAAAGCGACCCCTCCTTGGGTTTCCGAGGCAGTATCACTACAGAAGTAGGAATGCCCAACCTTCCTTCCGAGGAGTGGCTGGTGGGTTTGCAGGCGCTTCTGTGTATTTACTCAAATTCATCTGTGCCATACACTACTAGGAGCTCTGGTAGCATAGACCCTAAGGCACTTGACTGCTAACCAGAAGGCTGGTGGTTGAAACCCACCAGCCACTGCTCAGAAGGAAGGTTGGGCAATCTACTTCCATTAGTGATACTGCCTCGGAAACCCAAGGAAGGGTCGCTATGAGTAGGGTCCAACTCGATGGCACATAAAAACTACAACAACAATACCCTACTTAAGGGTTTGAACTGAGAACTTAACCTTGGGTTATTTGGCAACTACACTGAATAAGTCCTCCATAGTTGTAAGGCCATTAAAAGGCATGATGAGTGCAAAAATATAATACGAAGTTTTCTCTCCACAGTTTTATATGGGATAAAATGCTTCATCTAATAAACAAGATGCCTTAGCATAGATATACAAAGGGCAAAGTCAGGACATTTACAAGTTCTCAGGAGCAAAATTTTGTAAAATTACTTTTTGTGATAGTACTGCTTGCAAGTGTATACTCAGAGAGCAGAAGAAAGAAGTCTGCATTTGTGGGCAGGAGAATTTCATTATTGACATGGCTTAACATTGTCTGGGTTTGGTAAGAATAAAAAGCACAATGACTTTTAGATAGCTTTATTATTGTTTTAATATCTTCTATGGACAATATATCCCCTTGTTGCCTGCACTCAAGACAGACCACTCGCACACTCTGCCTTGGTAGATGTGAAATAAAGGTAGTCATTGTAGCTATGTCAGAACCTGTCTAACTCCTGGGGTACAATGCAAATCTAGATCAGCCCAAGGCTGATTCCTATGAAGTGGAGGTCAGACATATCTCCACTCTCCAACCTTTTACCAAGTCTGACACCAATCATCTCTCTAACTTCTCTTTTGGATTCAGTAATCTTTTGCAGTGACCACAGAGAACCCACAGATCATACTTAAAATTAAGTCACTTATTAAGGAAGCAAAAGGTACAACTCAGGATCAGGATCAACAGGCTACAACTCAGGATCAGCATCAGGAAACACTCAGGCAAAATCTCCATTCTTCAGTGCAAGAAACCTCTTTCAACTCCTCTCGGCCATGCAGGCTTCCTCTCTGGCCTCTAAAGACAAGTCTCTTGGCCCCTTGAGAATAGGCTTTTCTCAGCCCCCTTGTAGACATGCCTGTCTTGGCACCCTCAGAAGACAGTCTTCTTTGTTTTCAGTCTCCCTGATGTTAGCTCTGATGCAGAGCCACTTCTAAGCCTGTGGCCACCTTCAGTGTTATATCCTTTGACTTATGTTACAGTTCTTTTAAGAGGTTCCTTGCTGCTTTTTCTCTCATCATTCTTGCCTGTTCTCCTTTCAGCCTCTTCCCACTTCCTGTCTGAAAAACCTCTATGAAGTGGGCTCATAATACATAAACTCCTTGTCCATTTCAAGGTGTGGTCCTCCCACCAGGGCTATGTACTCACTAATCCCCTAAGCAGGCCACAGACATTTCATTTTTGTAGTAGGCTATAGACACTTCGTTTTCACAGTCTACTAACTAATCTCTGCAAAGTGCATACCAATCAGTTGCAGCCCAAGTTGTTTACAAAATACCCAGGAAACATCATTCAACTTGGA